AAGGAGGCCGCAGGCTTTCCGGATAAGTCGTGCACACGTACCCAAAGGCCAGGCACGATGCAGTCACTAGCCTCCACTTTTCAGGAAGGGCCTCATCACCTGCAGCTGTCTTCATTTTGTGGTTGCAGCGATTCGCAGCCGCACGTGCCGCGATGAGGCGCCAAGCTCCACAGACTGCCAACGTGAAGGATTCCTTTTCGTTCTTGGGGTTGGGGCTTGCAAAGATCGTTTCATAGACATCCATCCGAGGTGTTCTGCGGTCATTCTTTGTGGTTTATATTGCAGCTTCTGGGGGTCAGATTTGCAGCCTCTTCTTGTATTCAGAGAAGCTCCAGACCTTACTTTACATCTCCGTGCTCTGACGTCTCTTGGTGGCACGCCCGTAAAAACTCCGAGCTCCCCAAGTGCAAGAATTTTGGGATGGGTGTTGATCGTCCGCAGGGTGGATACCAGCATGGTCAGCTGCGAATACCAGCATGTTCTTTAGACTCCAGGAGCACAACGGCGTAGTTCTGGGTGTCATTCCCATAAGTCAAGTCTATGCAAACAGCTTCATAAATCTCAAGTGCAGAATAACTGGTCATCTGCATTCTGAAGGTTGGAAAATTGCTTAGCGCAGCATTTAGCCTCTGACCCACCACAAAAGCTGGCAAGCAAACCTCGACCTGCACGAGGCCTGGCCGGCGAACCCCGCTGCTGGCGCTGGCGGCTTCGTGCCCGGCAAATGGTTCCCAAAATAGGGGGAACCCAATATAGAGCCCGAAATACTACAGAAAGATATAGAAAGGCTCATTATGGGAAACCCCCGGAAGGTATTCCAAATCTCCTCCACCCCTCCACGAAGAAGTAATGGTAGTAATTGGAAATCTTCAGCATGGGGACGACTTACCATGAGTGGATCTTACATAAGCTTTGCGTGTTGCTGTCATATTTTCAAGTCGCTTTCTATCCTCCCCACAAGAATCGATACACATGCCTTTCTTACACTCTTCCCAATGGAAACTTCCATCCCAAAGTTGCCCCTAGAAGTTTGAGCCATGGGAATCTCTTGGTATCTTAAGTTCCTTCTCTGGGGCAGGGAAGGCCGAAGAAGGGTAACCATCGTGGTTTCCGTGAGAAGCAGGAAAGCCCTTGCATGTTGATTGGCCACCCAAGCAGCCTGACCACACATACCCTACCTCAGGCAATGCGCTGTGTATGTTGCTGATAAGAGTTGCTGCTCCTGCTTTTGCGAAGATTGCTAACATCAAGAAGCCTGTTTGCGTGTAATCTAGCCGGTATAAGCCTGTAAGAAGACTCCTCGAATAGTAGGGGCTTTGAAGCAAGTTTAGACCGATGAATCTCTGCTACATCCTCAGGTGGGAGCCGGGTTGCTCGTGTGTCGATGGTCGGCGCTTAGGCCTGGGATGTTCCATTTGTGGCTCAGCACGCTGTGTAGCAGAGGGTGGCCAGTAAGCCTGTACACTGTACACGTGCTGGTGACAAGCTCCAAACAGGGCCCTTCCTTGTAGTGAGAATAGGGCACTGCAGTCTTCTAAGTCAAGAGCTACCACAGGCCTTTCCGTGCATGGCTGGAACCAGTCAAGGCCTGTGCCTGGTTGACTTGGCCTGGGAAGTGGCTGTAATTTCAATCCACTTCACTGGTTGAATTCGGATTGTGCGCCTGCCTGCCATCAACTCTCTTGGATGGTTCCTTAGTTAGTCAAGGAGTCAAGGCAGCGGAATGTAGTCCACCATGCTCTCTTCAAGTGCGACATGCCTTAGGCCACAGACAGCTTGCAGTTGCCCAGACGACGAGAGGTGCCGGGCGCATGACATATGCGCAAACATTGGTTTCTCATGGAATGGTGCGTTTGCAGCTGCAGACCCGCAGGTTTGTGGTGTTGCTTATTCCTGTTCCACCTAACCCCCGAAATGCAGCGCCCAAGTTACGACTGGAGCCCCAGACCGTCAACCCTAAATCCAGGAGATGGCTGCACTTTTACCTACTATTGCGATTACTACGATTACTATTACTATCACTATCGCTATTACTAGTACTATTACTGTTACTATCCTATTTCTATCATTCATTTGTTGGTGGCTGATTGGGCTCCATGGAGGGTAGGGAGAGCCCCCGTCCCCGCCTGCGCCCGGCGGCCGAGGCTTCTTGCATGATGCCTTGAGATGGGCAGATGGGTTCTGGTAGGAAATATACGAGCTATAGTCTAAAATCCGGAGGGGATGATAGAGGGGAGCACTATACAGGTTAATAAGGGGGATACGAGGAGCTCAGACTATAGCTCATATACTACTTGAAGGAGTTATACAGATAGAGGATTAGATTACCTTAAGAGGTTTATATAGGGGATTTTATAACTTCCTTGATTTAGGGTTTAGGGTTAGGGTCCAAACCCCTTAAAGGGCAGTATGTAGGGGATTATATAGAATTCGTGTTCGAGGGCTCATCAACGGGGATGCTAGGAGTTTAGATTGTAGCTCATATAGGGAAATTACCCACAATGCTGGAGAATCAAGTGGAAAAGAACATGAGCATGAACTGCGAACTGGGAGAGTATGGTGGTTCATGGGGATCAGGGTTTCCCAAAATTAGGGGTACCCGTTTGTGGGTCGTTATAATAAGGATTCCCCTGACTTATCAACCTCAAGGCTGAAATGACAACTATCGACGTCACGCGGAGCATGGCATCATGGTGACATGAACACGGAACTAGTGGAAAACTGGAGACAGCACTGGAGAAGAACCTGTTCCGATGTTGGTCGTGGGTACATGTCAAGTAGATCTTCGACTCACCACGGATCTGGAAATCAAGTTTTTTTCGGTTTCGGGCGCCGATCCTTGCACCAAACTATGGATTCAGGCAACGGGTGCCGTGTGTCGACCATCCCACTCGAACAGGATTGTTCACTGGCACGTGGCAAGGACCCATGACTAGGCCATCCAGAAATGTTTGAACCCCCTGCTTCAGAAGCCCCAGCTTGTTGCGTTGTTCTGGCAGGTGGTCAGGCAGAATGCCTGCTGCAGCAATGGGCGACGAAAAGGCTGATAAAAGTACAGCAAAAGCTTGGCACAACTTCTAACAAGGTTTCCAAAGCTTTCGTCTGGTAGTCTTGTGAGTCATATTGATGTGGGCTGATGCAGGGCAAGGGAATGGCTGGCGACATGGAGGTGATGTTCGACATGTCGAAGAAGGAGCAGGCACGCACGGAGCCACTGGTAGAAGAAAGGCTGTCTGAGTGTGGTGCTCATGCACAAGCCCCAGACCAGCTAGGTGTCGTGGCAGTCAAAAGGGGCATTCTTGATGTTTCTCTTGCCAGGGCAACCCAGGCAGCAACTATAAGAAGTTGCACCGGCGAATCAAGCAAGATTACAAGGCGCGCCATTTGAGCTGCTGGCTGCACAGTTTCAGTGCATTTGATGATGATGATGATCGTGATGGCATGCCCACGATCATGACATTGCATAATCGGTGCTGTTCGTGACTACTAGTCATTCATGCAGCTGATGCAGCGGCAACGCCAGCCCTGGCTCCAAAGTGCTCCCTCCACAAATTTTCACCACTCGACACCACATCCTCAACCCTCACACCGCAAAGTCTGAGCCAGCATGCAAGAGAACGAGAAAGGTGTCCACCAACAAGGAGGTCATCAACCTCGAGAGGTGCTGCAGCGTTGGGTTGCAGGATGTAGGATTTGGGGCCTTTATAAGTGTGTGAGATTTCTACGAACTGGCTGCTTCCGGAATTTTGTGGTGGGGTGATTCTGCTGACAACACAAACAGGAACCTTAACCCGGGACGCTGATTGAAACAACTGGCTCTTATTTGAAGCTTTGTCGCGCGACAGTCTCTGTAGAAAAGCTCAAATCTCGACATGGTACCAAACGGCATGTCAAGCCCTAAAAGGCGTGCATAAGTATCAAACCTGAACCCTCTGTCCATCAAGGTTGAAGCCCATAGTCTTCGGACCTAAATTTTGAGGCTTGGTGCCTCAAATTCAGCCTCAGCCCCAGAAGAATGCCAACATACGAGCATTATGCCAGCTGTGGAAGAGCAACCTCCAAATCCGGTGACGTTAAACTTTCCCAAAGCCTCAATACTTAGACTTTAAACCCTATACAAAACAAACTGTTGATTGAGTGTTCTGTTTTCTTTTCCTTTTGGTTCTCCATGATCCCTAAGCCCGAAGCAATGTAGTAGCTTCCATTTAATTGCAATTTATTTTCCATTTGATGCTCCGTTATTCTCTTCAGGCCCCCGGCTTGGCACAGTGGCCAAATATGTTATCTGGTTATAGTGCTCGTCACTTTGTTTTACATTGTTATTGCTAAGTATTATAACCCTAAACCCTGTGCCCTAAAACCCTAAAAACCCTAACAACCCCAAAAAACCTAAACCCCTAAACCCTAAACCCCTAAACCCTAAACCCCTAAACCCCTAAACCCTAAACTCCTAAACCCTGAACCCCTAAACCCCAATTAAACCAATATGATTATGGGCCCCCCGCAGCCTGGAGGCTTCGAGCGGCCAACCTTGTGATCTTCGCAGGGCCCCGGGAGATGTTCACGGTGGACGAGTTCACCGCGCTCAAGGAGCTCAGCCGGGGTAAGCCAGAGGGCTTACAGATGGGGTTTAGAGGTTTAGGGTTTAGAGGTTTAGGGGTTTGGTGTTTTCCCCTGTGGAAAACTGGATAATGCAGCTTAGAGCGAACAGCTAAGCTGTGTGTGTGTGTGTGTGTGTGTTGGAAAGTTCGCTGCAGAAATCTGGACTTTGGCGCTTTCGCGTTACCAGAGCGGTTGATGCGAAAATCTCAACATCATGCCCCCCTTCCCAAAATCAAACAATAAGTAGTAGTTTCCATTTGCTTTTCCATTATCCCTATATAACCTCAGCATATACCCTATTATAATATAGCAGTTTCTATTTTCTTTTCCATTATCCCCATATAACCCTGAACCTGAAACCCTGGATACATCCATTATAGTAGTTTCCATTTTCTTTTCCATCTTCCCCATATGGGTGGTTGTCAAAGTTATGGTCCCTTTTGGATCCTTATGATGATACGGCACCTAATATTTAGGGTACTCAAAAAGGGACCATCATTTTGACAACCACCCATATAACCACTATATACGAAACAGCACATGAGGTGCTTGAGGCCGGGATGACAGACCTGGATCTACCTTGAGTAATATTAGTAATAATAGTACCAACAGTAGTAATAATAACAATAAGAACAATCAAGACCAACAATAGCAATAAACGACAATAAATGACAACAGTAACAACAATATCAATACATGACAATGATAACAATAATAACAATAAATAGCAATAATAGCAATAGGAACAATAATGAAGCTGCGGGCAGTCAGCGTTTCGGGACCCATCCTCAAGCTCCTAGCTGAAAGTTGCTAAGGCGATCCAAGCCGTCGGGACCTGCCTTTTTGCGTTTCAGTTGAGCTACAGACTAATTTATGTTGGGGGGACCTATAGGGTGCTTATAGGGAGGTATAGGGCGACCTATTTAAGGGATATACTACAAATTTAGTCCAGGGCTCATTTGAAATCGACAAGTCCTCTGAAGGTTAGGCAACATTATGATCCCTTTCTGGGCCTCCAGGCAAGACGGCCACTGCTGGTTCTGGGAGTTGAGAGCACCAGACTTGAACCCCATGGCCTAACAGTAGTTTCCGAGAAGAAGGTCCCCGTATATGTCCTTAAGGACCCCGCTTAGTTACTAAGTTCCCGTTCTGGGGACCCCAAGATGGGACCGGTGACTGTTGGACATGTCCATAAATGGCTGCAGTTTCAAGGCTCAAAGTTTATATTTACAAGGGTTTCCTTTGCCATCGAGTAGTTTATCCTTCTGCGAAGGATCAGCCTTGGCCATGAGTGGCGAAGGTAAGTTGATCATAAAGCCAGGTGGCCACCAATTGGATCACATCGGGCTAGCAGTGAACGATGTGGAGAAGGGTGTGGCCCGAGTGGCAGAGATGACAGGTGTTCAGCCCCTACTGCTTCCACCTGAACCGAATGCACCTTTTCACAGTGCCAGCTTGAAGATTGGAGAGAAGTCGTTTTTGGAGATCTTGGGCCCCAATAAGGAGTACAACGGGTTCCATCCCTTGAAGTCTATACTGCGAAGCATGCCGCCGGGTGAGTTGACCCTTTGGTTTTGGTACGTTGGTACAGATGACTTCGACAAGTTTGAGTCCAAGGTGGTTGGTGCAGGGAGGTGCATTGAGAACAAAGTAGCGCAGGATGACGCAGGCCCCAATGGTGAGCATTCGACCTACACCCGAGGCATGATTGGTCCAGGGTTTGACCCAGTGTTCCCAAATGCCATCCAGTGGAAGACTCCGCCCAGGACAGAAATCAGCAAGGAACTCACCATTTGCCCACTGAAAGAGTTCAAGATCATCACCAGTGCGCACGATGCCGTGGCCAAATTCTTCAACAGCACTGGCATAGACACATCCCCACTCAAGCAGAGCGACGATGGAAAGTCTTACCTATCCCTCACAATTTCAACACCAAAGGGGGATGTGGAGTTCAAGAGTGAAGCAAAGCCACTCACGACTCTTGGCTTGCTTCACATTTGCCTGACGGATGCGTTTCGGATGGCTGCTTGCTGCACCGCCTAGTTCCTCCATTCCTGCTCAAAGCCAGCAGCAGTCTGCACTTGACAGCCCATGAGGGGTGGTAGATCCACACAAAGTTGAGTTCTGCCGTTTGGAAGAAAACATCTATTGAGCTACCGGACCATGAATCTTGACATTCTGGCTCGTAGCAACAACCAACCATCGAGGCAGCCGGCTCATGATATAGTCTGAAGGGCAAGTAGTTCCTATTGACGATTCGTCGTGGTGTGGCTAGTATTAATGAGACCCAGCATTGTTTGCAGTCAACAGCATATTTGTTTGGCTATTCCATTTGCAGGACTACTTGGCAGATGGTGGCAGCGTTCTCTTCCTCGTTGGTGAGGGCGGAGAAGGTGTTTTTGGGCAGTAGTCTCAAGTGAAGCTCCGAGCATAAGCAGCTACAATTCTGTAGTCCCAGGCCATTCAAACCAAGCTCTGGCATGTTGAGCATGGGCAATTCCATGTGCAAGAGCTGATGTTAGTTCATGTTTAAGGTAAAAAAACTTGCAGGCAAGAGCAACACCAACGTGAACTACCTCCTGGAAGAGTTTCTCGATTGAAGCACCATGCTGGTCTTTTACCTCACGTGGCATGCCTCATTTGTTGCAGGAAGCCCTTGAAGTTACCAAGGTTTGGTATGAGCGTCAACAATGATGCTGTGGCTGGGAGCTCAGCCTCACTCAGGGTCCGTCAGCAACAGCATAGCAACAGCGGCGTTGATCCTCGCAAGTTTTCTGATACCGTGACTGCGGCCATTGCTCATCTCTCAAGCAACAGTCCCCTGGCTGAACGCGCGCATCTCTCCACCTGAGTGTTCCGGCGTCGCCATGTGCATGAAGCAGTGCCTAAGTGTGCTGTGTCTGGTGCTCTTCAGCACAGGCTGGATTTCGATGTGTGTTCTTTTATGTTGCCTTCAGCTCACACCAAGGGAACACTAGAAAGACTAGCAGCAAACATGCAGGACAAGCAGTACGTGTCAAGGGCGCGAATTCGACAAAGCCGCTCAGATTTTAATGATATGGGTTCAATTCTGACACTCCTGTGTAGGTGGCGTCCACTGGCCCCACTGCAAGGTTTGCTGGTGCGGCAGACCTTTAGTTTGGTACAAGTTTCTCGAGCACCCACCGATGCCCGTTGCTTGCGCCGCTGCTTGTGCTTCGCGCGTCAACTAGGTCATTGAACGTTATTATGATATCATCAGGAAATCACATGTGGAAGAGATGCCAGCTGGGAAGGGGCGCAATAATCAGAAGGAAACAGACCATGTAATCCCTATGAAGCCCCTGTTTCATCCCTACTCAACAGCCAATTATGACCCCCCACCCCCCAGAGGTGGTTTTTAATGACATGTGGTGTTCTTAATGGCTTCGCTTGAGGAGATTTGCGGTAAG